CTTCTTCAGAGTCGCCAGTAACTCCACTGGACGCTTTCTTGGTTCATTGAAACATGCTTTAATTACTAAAACATAGTTCAAATAATCCATAACATAGAAGTCGCAATCATTGTCCGTTTCTCAAATCCAGTGTATGTAGTCCTTAAAATCCCATATCCTCTAGTCCATCAGTATAGCACATCTATCAAACCAGCATCTTCAACCATACCAGAGCTCTTCTTCAGTCTTCTTCTACCCATTTACCCGGACAGTCACCCAAGCCCTTCTGCTCTGTGCAGTGCAATCCACTCTCCCCAGCAGGAATCCCCACAGCCTCTCTGGTGGGAATTCATTGTCACCAGGGGGGCCTTCTCACTCCCCCCTCCCTCAGCCCTCTCCATTCCTCTGGCTCCAGCTTTACAGCATGGAGATGTCAGTGAATAAGCCCCGTTGCTGCTCCCTTGCCTTCAGCCTTTCCCAGGAACCTCCTACAGGGACCTCCCACGGTCTCCTGATCTCTGTCAGCTCTCAGGTGCCCTTTCCTGACTTCCCTCTGAGACGTCCCCCCTCTGCATTCCAGATGCCTTCTCTTAAGCAGTTAGGAAGTAGCTGAGGAATCACAGGTGCACTGACCTCTTCCTCCTTAAAGGGCCAGTGCCACCCTGTGACAGGGTCATATACATTCAACTTGCTGTTCACCTGTAATCCTTCTGGATAAGGTTCTTATAGACAGGAGTGTTCTGTACAGCCATTTGTGGAAGTGTAACTTGTGGTGACTTATTAGATGATATTTTGTAGGTGGATAGCCTTAAAAAAATCACTAAAACAGGCCGCTCTACTCAAAATCATGATTGACTGCTCCCTGCTGATATTCTGTTTTAGGCTTTGGATAATAGATACTGTGCTGCCACTGAGGATTCTTAAGATAAGATGATGCAAAGGATGGAACCAGGTATCAAAGAGCACAACTGCTCCTTTGGGCAGCCCCTGTTCCTGTTGTAGGAATTTGTTTTCTGGGATGTTACAGTTGACACCATTTTCTCCTCATTCAATCCAGACTAAATGCTAGAGTACCTGGGGACCTAAATATACAAAGGCAGAAAAGAACAGCAATCCTGAAAGGCTAGTATTTTTCCAAGGCTCAGGCACTGGCTTCCAAATCACTCACTCATTCACCATTTTATAAATACTTCACTTTAGTGATGGCAGCCTCAAATGATGAAAAACCTGTTACAGAAATGAAGGCTACAATCACCAGGAGAAAATGATTAGACATAGGACTTTAACATACTTTAGAGGAGAATGTTGTAGGGATTTCAACTGAGAGATAAAGAAAAACAAATGGAAAATGTTTGAAACCTCATGATCACTACCCGAGTGCAGTTCAAAATGTTAAATAGGCAAGTTTCTGAAATGTCAGTCTCCTCTAAAACAGGATCTTGATCAAAGGTAAGAGCTTTGGAAACCCAAATCCATAGCTGGGATTGTTTCTGGAAGACCTGAAGATACTGACATAAGTACTGTATTTCAAACACTATAGAAAATCTGACATCTATTTTGATAAAACATATAAAATTGACCCAATATTAATAGAAAAACGCTACAAGATTCTTGAGGGCGGAAGTAGGAGACAGAGTGTGGGAGGGTTGTTACTAACATTGCTTGATGTATAGGAAAAGAGGAAATTTACAGGCTGAATTCATTCACTGTCATAGATTCCCAGGCCAGAAGGGGCCATTGTGATCATCTCGTCCGAACCCGTGTATAACACACGCCATAGAACTTCTCCAGAATAATTCCTAGACATATCTTTTAGTAAAACATCTAATTGTGATTTTAAAATTGCCAGTAATGGAGAATTCACCATGATCCTAATGTTAATTATGCTCACTGTTAAAAATATATCCCTTATTTCCAGTTTGAATTAGTCTAGTTTCAGCTTCCAGACACTGGATCATATTATACCTTTCTCTGCTAAATTGAAGAACACATTATCAAATATTTGTTCCTCATGTCAGCAGTGTTCCCTCTAATTTTTCCCACCCATGTGCGGAATTAATTTTGTTATGTGCACCAATATGGAGGTGACGTGTGACACATCACCTCCATATCGGTGCACATTACAAAATTCATGTGGTAGGGTTTGGCCGAGGGGTTCAGAGTGTGGGAGGGGGCTCAGGGCTGGGGCAGAGGGTTGGGGCGTGGGGGGGGTGAGGGCCCCAGGGTCAGGCCAGGGATGAGGGGCTCAGGGTTGGGGCAGAGAGTTGGGGTGCGGGGGTGTGAGGGCTCTGGCTCTGGGGTGGGCCTGTAGATGATGGGCTCAGAGCTGGAGCAGAGGGTTGGGGTGCAGGAGGGTGAGGGCTCTGGCTGGGGGTGCGGGCTCTGGGGTGGGACCAGGGATGAGGGGCAGGGCTGGGGGAGAGGGTTGGGGTACAGGGGAGAGGGCTCTGTGTGGGGGTGCGGGCTCTGGGGTGGGGCTGGGGATGAGGGATTTAGGGTGCAGTGGGGCTCCCCGGGACTATGGCAGGGAGAGAGGACTCCCCCCCCCCCCCGATCTCTCTCTCCCCACAGCAGCAGCAGCACCTGGGGTGGGAGGGGAGAGGCAGCTCTCCCCGCTGTGGCAGGTCCAGGCCAGGATGTGTCGGGGCCAGGGGAGGGGTGCCTGTCCTCTGGCCGTGGCAGGTTTGGCACTGGGCTTGGTCGAGGCCAGGTGAAGGGCACTGCGGCAGGCCCGGGACTTGGAGAGAGGCATCTCTCCCCACCGCAGCCCTGAGCGCCTGTGCGGTGCTTAATAGGCAGCTGCGCAGTCATGCAGCTTAGAGGGAATTTAGCAGACTGTAATTAAGTCACCCCTTAACCTTCTAAATATATTCAGCTCCTTTAGTCCATCACTATAAGTAATGTTTTCTAATTCTTTAATCATTCTTGTGGCTGTTTTCTGAACCGTCTCCAATTTATCAACATTCTTCTTGAATAGTGGGCACCAGAACTGGACACAATATTCCAGAACTGGTTGTACTAGTGTCAACTTTGGAAGTAAAATAACCACTCTATTCCTACTCAAGATTCCTCCTTTTATTCATCCAAGATTTGCATTAGCCCTTTTGGCCACAGCATTGCACTAGCAGCTCGTGTTCAACTGTTTATCAACCATCAGCCCCAAATCTTTTTCAGAGTCACTGCTTTGCAGGATAGAGTCCCCCATGCAGTATGTACAGTTTAGGTGTAGCCATATTAAAACACATATTGTTTGCTTGCACCCAGCATACCAAGTGATCCTGGTTGCTCTAAATCAGTGACCTATCTTTGTCATTATTTACCACTCTCCCAGTTTTTGTGTCATCTGCCAACTTTATCAGTGAAGATTTTATATTTTCTTCTAGGTCACTGAAAAAATATTAAATAACACAGGCCAATTTAGAAATAAAGAGATAAGATTCAAAATGTCTACGGTATTCATTTTTGTCATATGTGAGCCATACTATACAAACTAGGAGAAAATACATTTGTAGTAATAGAATAAGCTGGGACAGAACAGCAGGTACTTTTTTTGCTGACTCACCCTAATGCAAATATTAGGACCCTGCGCTGAGGTACAAAGCTGTTTCAGTTGACTCACTCTGACTCAGACTATAAAACCTATTAGCTCCAACCATGAGTATAAAAGGGCTTGATCAAGGGAACCCGTGAGTATAGACAGAGAGGAACTGCAGGGAGAAATTCTAGAAAAATACTGAGGCTTGTTTTGTTGTTGCTTTTTAAGTTAACAATAAAAGCTAACTCCAGGAACAGAGAACATTTGTACCAGTACCAGTAGAAATGTGCAAGTATGTTAGGTGTAGGGTGGGAAAACCACCAACCTGAAGAGGCCTTAAACATGGAAGGATGATTAGTGCACACAGCTTCTCTACATATTATATGATTAACCATTATACATACATTTCTTAAGGTGTTCTTGCTGGAATGTGAAAACCTCAATTCTTGAAGATGGGAAGAGAGGGAAGATGAGGTAGACCTCTGAATCTGAATGAAACCCCACCCAATTCTCATTTCTTATGAACATTTTTTGTGATATAGAGGGAGGTGGTGTTTGAGTCTGCTATTATTACAGTCCATATATTCCTAAGGAGACTGACTTTCAAACTGACAATATGTCACAGTGGATGACTTTCCTGTTCCTTTACCTTTTCTGCTCAAAAAAGGTGCTTAACAGTACAATCTTCTCCTGCCAGACAAAGACTTCTATTTTGGGGGATATGACTTTGATTGATTTTAACCATTTCTTATGCACATAGTTTGAGTGTGACATTCTCCCAGAATAAACTGAGACTTGTCTTTTTGAGGGTTTATTTACCTACTACTGTAATAAGAGAGAGCTATCACCAGTTGTTATTTTCCTTTCTACTCTTTCTTTCCCCTTTGTATTAATCTTCTTGCTCTGTTGATCCAAAAACAAATGATCCAGTGTTCTAAATATACAATTGAGTGTTACATTTGTTTCCAGGCTGCTTGAGACTGCTCAAATATATGCAAACTGTGCTGAATGTTTTATACTTAAGGCTGCAGGTTGACTGGGTATACCCTCTCCTCTCAGAAATGTTATAGCAGAGAATTGTGTACTTTGTATTTATTTAAAACATTACAGTTACATTCCAGAAAATAAAGTTGCTTTATTTTCCTCCTCTCCCTGGCAAATGGAGGATGAACAATTCAAAATACAAAAGATTTTTCTCATATATTTAGAGTTGGTAAAATGTATACTGTCACATGCAGGAGTTGTGTGCAGGTATAAATATTGGTTAGCGAATCAGCTCTGTAATCTGAGATATTGTTATCCTCTGTGTAAGAAAACTAATAAAAAAGATTATAAAACATTAAATAAGATGAGACTTTGGTTCTTTCAGAGAGACTATCTCAAATATTCCTCCTATCCTGTAAATATAAAGTGCTTGGCTTGTGTAGGTACCACAAAAACACATTTTGATGATCCTTTCCTTTTTTTCATTCATTTTTTCCCACAGTCACATGACACAATCGGCCACATTTGAAGACCCTCGAATAGAGAGCTGCCAAATCACCCCTCCAGCCCCTCGGAAAGTGGAAATGAGGAGGGATCCTGTGCTGGGATTTGGTTTTGTGGCTGGCAGTGAAAAGCCAGTTGTTGTACGCTCAGTAACACCAGGTATGATTTTTCCCCTTGCCTGGCCCCAAAAGCAGGGCTTTGAGACTTACTAACTCCCTGTCTGTGCTGGCTGTATTGCTGGCAGTGATATGGATGTGCTCAGATTTCCAGCAGGACTGCATTAGCTTTTAAAGTTGTCTACTTAGAGGTTTGATTTCTTTAGAATTGCTTTTTTAAATTAAATTAAATTTAATAATTTTGAACTTGTATTTACACTGATTGAGGCCCACTGGGACAAAATACCATGGCACATACGAGTACTATTAATGCATTCCAGCAACCAAGTGAATCATGAATACTAGACAGCATTCTGAGAGTATGTCTACACTGCAATTAAAATCCTGCAGCTGACCCATGCCAGCTGCCCTGGGCTCAGGCTGCAGGGCTGTATAATTGCTGTATGGACATTCGGGCTCAGGCTGGAGCTCGGGCTCTTGGTTCCTATGAGGTGGGAATGTCCCAGAGCTTGGGCTGCAGCGCAGTTAAACAGCCCAGCTAATCTGAGTCCCAGTAGCCCGAGCCCCGCAAGCCTGAGTCAGCTGGCACAGGCCACCCAGGGGTGTCTAACTGCAGTGTGACATACCCTAAATTCTGATATGCTGACATGCCTCTATAATGAGGTCTCAAGTGGAGTTCCACAGGGATCTGTTCTGGATCTGGTGTTGTTTAATATCTTTATTAATTATCTAGATGTAGGTATAGAGAGCATAATGATCAAGTTTGCAGATGACACAAAGTGAGGGGCGGTTGCCAATACTTTGGAGAATACAGCTAAAATTCAAAGGAATCTTGATAAATTGGAGAACTGGCTATAGATGACAAAATGAAATTCTATAAAATTGGCTATAGACAACAAAATGAAATTCAACAAAGACAAATGTAAGGTGTTACACTTAGGGAAGAAAAAACAAATGCACAAATACAGAATGAGAGATAACTGGCTTGGCAGCAACGCTGCTGAGAAGAATCTGGGCGTTGTGGTGGATCACGCCATCAACATGAGTCAGCAATGTGATGCAGTTGCAAAAAAAGCAAATGCAATTTTGAGTTGTATTAACAGAAGTATAGTATTAGCATGAAAGTCATGGGAGGTAATAGTACTGCTCTACTCGGCACTGGTTAGGCCTCAGCTGGAGTACTATGTCCAGTTTTGGTCACCAAAGGATGTAGAGCAGTGTTTTTCAAACTTCGGGTTGCTACCCAATACTGGGTTGCAGCATGTCAGGCACTGGGTCACTCTGGTCAGCAGTGCCCACCGGGACATTGAAAGTCCCATTGGTGGTGCTGCCAAGCTAAGGCAGGCTAGTGCCTACCTGTTTTGACACCATGCTGCGCCCCGGAAGCAGCCAGCAGTGGGTCCAGCTTCTAGGCAGGGAGCCACAGGCCTCCGCACGCTGCCCCCGCCCCGAGCACAGGCTCCGCACTCCCATTGGCCGGGAACGGGCCAATGGGAACTGGGGGAGGTGGAGGCCTACACTTGCGGGCCTCCGCCTAGGAGCCAGACCTGCTGCAGGCTGCTTCTGGGGTGCAGCACTGTCCGTGGTGCCAGGACAGGCAGGAAGCCTGCCTCCTCACCCCGGCTGCACTGCTGACCAGCAGCCCCTGGAGGTAAGTCCAAGCCCCAACTCTGCACCCCAATCCCCTGCCTCAGCCCTGAGACCCCCCAAACCCAGAACCCCTTCCTGCACCCCAAACCCCTCATCCCCGGCCCCACCTCATAGCCTGCACCCCCAGCCCAGAACCGTGACCCCCTCCCTCACCCTCAATCCCCTGCCCGATCCCTGAGCCCCTCCCACACCCCAAACCTCTCATCCCCAGCTCTTGTTGAGTCACAGGCATCAACAGTTTTCTTCAACAGGGTCCCCAGAAAAAAGTTTGAAAACCACTGATGTAGAGAAACTGGAAAGAATCCAGAGGCAAGTGACAAAAATGATCAAAGGGATGGAATGCAAGCCATATGAGCAAAGGCTGAAGGAACTGGGTATGTTTAGCTTGGAAAAGAGGAGATTAAGGGAGGGATATGATAGCAGTCTTCAAATACTGGAAAGGCTGCCATAAAAAAGATGAAGAAAAGTTGTTCTCTCTTGCCACAGAGAGCAGGACAAGAGGCAATGGGTTCAAACTACAGCATAGCAGATTTAGATTAAGTCTCAGGAAAAACTTCTTAACTGTAAGAACAGTAGGACAATGGAACAGACTGCCTAGGGAGGTTGTGGAAGCTCCTTCACTGGAAGTTTTCAAAAGGAGGTTGGATAGCCATCTGTCTTTAATGGGTTAGACCCAACAAACCCTGCATCTTGGCAGGGTGGTAGACTAGATGACCCTTGCAGTCCCTTCTAATCCTACGATTCTATGATTCTGTAAAGGCTTGTACTTTGGAATATTGTTTCTCACTGCACTCGTTTCAAACCCATAAATTTGTTAGCAGCAAAAAGCCAATATCATAGTTATTACTCTTAGCCATTACTATTGTTTGACTATACTGGTTGACCCACTTCATTTAAAGAAAGAATTTTATTCTATTGTTTTCTATTCTGTATAGTTTCTTATACCACCCTCCTCACATAGTTTCTGAACTTCTTCCAGGAATGCATTCAGTTATGTGACTAAACTATGTTATGTATGATTCTTTCTTCTCTCATCTACTCATAGGGTGAGAACTGAGTATGCAGTGTACGGTTTTATTTTGGTGGGGATTTTGTTGTTGCTGGGGGGTTGGTTTTTTGTTTTCTTTATGGACACTGCACTGTGTTTATATTAGAGAAGGCAAGATCAGAGAAATGCACCTTGCACTTGTGGGGGAAGGTAGCGAGGTTTGTGACAACCATTAGTTCCTGGGGGAGTTTGTTCCACAGTCTCAGACTGGCCCCTGAGAAAACTCTGTCTCCTATACAGAAGAGTTTTGCCTTTGTGATAGAAAGTTCCATTGGGCCTGAGAAATGGAGTTGTTGATCATGGTCTTCATCCTGAAGCTTTAGGCAAACTTGTAGACATGCTGGGCCCAGACCATTGATTGTCTTGAAGACAAGGATGAAGACCTTGAACTTTCAATATTCTTTTGGAAACCAGTGTAGAGAGCAGAGGACAAGCAAAACTGCCTGTAGAACACCTAAATGTGATTTTCCCAGGTGTGTTTGCAAATGGTGTTTGTACTGCTTGCAAATAAAGCAAATTATGCAGTTAGGATCTGGCCCCCCTGAAGTCCTGATTAATCTCAGACAGTTCTTTTTTCCCCAAAATAGTTTTATTTAGTGTAACTCTCATATTGAAAGCCCAGTTGGGGAAGCATATTTGTATTCAATCACCAAAGTAGGAGTGGAGACAAATACATTGGAACTGGTGTGCATTTGTACATAGTGAAACTCAATTTATGGTGGATTCAAAAGTAAAATAAAATCTCCAAACCAAACAGATAGAAGCACAGCTTCAGCTTGTTGTTTGAATGAATTGTGTCAGGCAGTAAGAATTTTTTTCTTTTAAGATTTCATCTTTTGTTTTATACAATCGTTACAAAGTTTTTAAAGACAAGACATTAGCACAAGTATAATCTTTCGTTTGAGGCTGTGACACTGTGTTCCTTTTCTGTGAGCTTGTTATGGGAAGCAAAAAGGTTTTTGTGTGCTTCCAAAGCGGTAAGTTGTTGTTATAGTGATGCAGGAGCGCCACGATACTTAAGGTTGCATCATGAAATCTGTGTAAAAGTTGATCTTTCTAAGTCCTCTGAAATCGACGTGCTTAGTCAATTTTTTTGAAATCTGTTGTGCCTTAGGAGATGTACCAGTACTAGATGGGGTTAATGACCCAAATCTGAAGTCATTTGAGACAGATGTTCCCCAAAATAGATATTTTTTGAAGTTTCTAGATTTTGTTTGGTTGGTTGGTTTTGCCCAGAACTGGAGATCAAACTATTGATCTGATGCAGGTCAAAATGTCTCAGTCTGTCAAGTTTTGCCCAAGGGAGTGCATGGCACCCACTAAATCTTTGGTAGACTCAAACTGAGAACAGTATTTACACTGTACATGCACCAATACAGAAGAATGACTAGATGGTTTATTTTCCAACATTTTATATGGTTTAAAGCTAGACTCTTTTAAGTGCTTTAAAATCCAAATGGTTTATCAGATGCTTTGAAATTTGGTGTGCCTCGTTGGCGTGTGAGGTAGCATTGGTGATCCAAATTTGACCAAGAGGTTTCCTGAGTTACAGTCCTTCCTTCCTCCTCCCCAAAAAATAATTTCCTTCTGCTGCCTCATACTGTTAAACTGAGAAGTATTAACAAAGGGATGAATCACAGACCTCTTTATTGCTGTGAACTCATCCTTCAATTAACATAACTAAGGATAATTTAATCACAAGTCCTCACCTGAGACAAAAGAAGTTCTGGACAGGGAGGGTTGCTACTATTTGTGAGACATGACTAGCAATTTTATTTTGGGGGCAATGTAATCAAAGTATTCATAGAATCATAGAATATCAGGGTGGAAGGGACCTCAGGAGGTCATCTAGTAGTCCAACCCCCTGCTCAAAGCAGGACCAATCCCCGACTAAATCATCCCAGCCAGGGCTTTGTGAAGCCTGAATTTAAAAACCTCTAAGGAAGGAGATTCCACCACCTCCCTAGGTAAGCCATTCCAGTGCTTCACCACCCTCCTAGTGAAAAAGTTAGGGCAGGGGTGGGAATTAGACATGTGAATGCTTCCTGGGAGGGGAGGCGTATCAGGGGACGGAGGACTGTGGGAACTGGAGGAGAGAAGTTTAGGCAACCAGTGATGTTATGGGGGGCAGAAATGGAGATTGATGGTATGGGAAGCAAGAGAGTTTGGGGACTCAGGCAAGGGAGGCCTGGCACCCCCTCAGCTCTGCCAGTGCACCCTAACTTCCTTGCATCCCGGGCTCTGCTTCTGCACTTCAATCCTCTCATTGCAACCACCCTGCAGCCTCAGGTCTGCCAATGCACCCGAACCCCCATGAACTGCACATTAGAGCCCTGCATGGAACTATTTTTAATCCTGCAATACCTACTCCTACACATGCCCGCAATTATAGCAGCAGGTCCTGTGGGACCCATGGGATCCTGGTCCTGCTGCCGGTCTCTACACTAATCCGGCACAGGGCTCTATGCCACAGCTCTGACAGTGCACTCCAACCTGCCTGAACCCCAATTCCACAGCTCTGACAGTGCACTCCAACCTGCCTGAACCCCAATTCCACAGCTCTGACAGTGTACCCCAACCTGCGTGTGATGCATCTTGGGGCATTCAGGATTGCAAGTTTGTTGCCACTTGCCTCCAACACAAGGGACTCTTGCCTGTGTTAGCTCACAAACACAACCAGTCTGTCAGCCACTCCAGCACTCTCCTCTGTCTTTGCCCTGCAAGTTAACAATAGATGGCTCCAAGTCCCTTCAAAGTGTCCCCTTGTGTTTTCCAGGCACTGATCACTGGATACCCACAGAAATCCCAGATCCTCCATTCCCAAAGGAACAGTGTACCCCAGTTTACCATCTTTACCTTAGACCAGTGGTTCTTAACCTTTCCATACTACTATACCCCTTTCAGAGTCTGATTTGTCTTGAGTACCTCCAAGTTTCACCTCACTTAAAAACTACTTACAAAATCAGGCATACAAATACAAAAGTGCCACAGCACACTGTTACTGAAAAATTGTTTACTTTCTCATTTTTACCCTATAATTATAAATCAATTGGAATATAAATATTGTACTTACATTTCAGTGTATAGTATAAAGAGCAGTATAAACAAGTGGCTGTCTGTATGAAATTTTAGTTTGTACTGACTTTGCTAGTGCTTTTGATGTAGCCTGTTGTAAAACTAGGCAAATATCTAGATGAGGTGATGTACCCACTGGAAGACCTCCGCCTTGCACCCCAGGTTGAGAACCACTGCCTTAGACCACCACTCCTGTATTACACACAGCACTCAAATGCATTTATAGCAGATGATGATGTCCTCCTTGCTTCTTCAGACTATTAATTCCTAACAGGAGCATATATTTTCCTGGTCAACGACCTAGGAAATTCGGTGGCAAATAATTATGTTAATACAAAGTTAAGGTTGCTTGGTGACATGTCATCTCCTTGTTGAGTTGAGCAAAACTCAATCTTCTGAAAACCAGGAAATGTGCCGTTAAGGTTGCCCATGCAACTGTAACCCTACCCTCTTCCAGCAGTGCCACAATATGCCCTAGTAACACACAAACCTTTGCTCTGCCAACCCCACAGTTGCTGAAAATGTATAGGCTCTTCACCTCCTTTGACAACCAATTTATACTCACCCACAGGATTGCATCTAACACTATTAGAGAACAAAAAGAAATTTCCTGGTGGTCAGAAGTTTGAGTTTTGCTCATCTCAGCCTTCTGCAAGGGGACGATGTACCACCAAGCAATCTTAACCTTACATTTCAGTAGAGTTGGAAACCAAAGCTCTTGGCTGAAGCTTTCATATCTGAGTGCCTAACATTAGAGTCTTCTTGTAATTTCATACCTAAATAAAAGTGGCCTGATTTTCAGTGGTGCTGATCACCTGTAGCTCCCTTTGACTTGTCAGGGAAAATCCGGTCCTGGTTATTTAAGTATCTAAATATAATTTTATATTTAGGCACTTATCAGGTACTGTGATATGTACATTTAGATTGTTAGCTTTCTGGTGAGGATATATTATCAGCAAAGTGCTTTAGACCTCCAAGCTGAACCGTATCTAATATCTGCCAGTAGAGCAGACTGTCTATGTGTTTATAATGGTCTACTAACCTGTCCTTATTTCTCATTTGTCTCCAGGCGGCCCCTCTGAAGGAAAACTTATACCAGGAGATCAGATCATAATGATTAATGATGAGCCAGTCAGCACTGCTCCAAGGGAGAGAGTCATCGACCTTGTCAGGTAGTTGATGCCTTCGTCCTACCAAATAAACCATGAGCCCAGTGGCTTACTGCCAGAACAGTTACTTGATAATGTGGCATTCTTGCCTTCTCAGAGCGGAGAAAGTGGAAAATAATGTTACTGAGCTTATAACAAATGTTGGTGGAATTGCATATTACTGACGGGAAATTTCCTTACATAAATACTGCGGGAGTGTGAATAAATGTGAAAAAATATACTAAAGCACCTCCAAAAGAGTTGTTGGTTGAAGGACAGGTAGCCTTGATGATTAACGGTTGTATCATATGCAGGGCTCGAAGAAACCGCTCCTCTGGTTGCTTGGGTAAAGAAAATGTTGGAACAGGGTGGCGAGTTGACTGGGACAGGGTACAAAGAATCTGGCATTTTTGACTTCTTCCCTGAGGGGTGGGTTGTGGGGACAATCCTTAGAGCAGAGTGGGCCAGGCGGTTGCTGCTTTATACTGCTTTTTCTTGACAGTACTGGAGTGGGACTAAAGAGGGAAGAGAGTAGCCTAGGATATGGGCCTCTGTTACCTTCGGGGTTGGGGAAGGCAGGAAGAGGTGAGCCTGTGAGTGGATAGGTGCATATATATGTGTGTGTTGGGGGGAGGCTTTTGGGTAGTGCATGCTTGAGTGGACAGCATGTGAATTTGTGCAAGTAGGTGTGTGTTGGGTGGGCGAGTGTGAGGAATAAAGGGGATAAATTATAAAAAGTACAAGGGAGAGGGAGGGAAAGAAGTTAGCAAACAGAAGACACAGTAGGAAAAGAAAGATGACGTTTATTATGGGGTGGAGGAAGAGAAAAGGAAAAGAGGGAACAACACACAAAGATACAACGTGATGTATAATGGGGGGAAAAAGTGGAGTGAAGCCATAGAGATAAAAGAAAGTATAACAAAACTCAGGAGGTGGAGTAAGTTAGAGTATGTTTTAACAAGTTTATTAAATAGAAAATTGATTGGCAATAAATATAGTACACAGTTGTTTTAAACTTCAGAGGCATGACTCTTAGAGGGCAGTGTGTTGTATGTATTTTTTTCACTTGGCTAGTACGCTTTCTCCTTGGGCTAGCTGGTGTTAGGGAATTTCAGGATCTGATCGTACACATTTTTTCCCTGATAGGTTAAATGGAGGGTCCTTCTCTCCAAATCTGGCAACCACCAATGTTGAAAGTAAATTGCCCTGACACTTTTCGAAAAGAGTCAATTCTGAATTTCAATTTATGAACTTCTACAACAGCTGTGATTCTCTGGGATGAATCAGATCACAATACATAGGATGAAGCGCATGAGAGTTGGGGGCAAAGTGTTCTCAGTCAAGGGGATCTGCTTGTGGAATAAAACTTCTGTAGGAGACTGGGTGACTCAAAAGTCTTACCATCTTTTGGAAATGCTGCATACCTTCCTTTTCAAAAAATATTTTCTACAATAGCAAGAAAGATACCCACAACAGTGACACCACATCCCTGAAAAATAAAAGAAAATAAAACACTGTAACAAACAACTCAACCAAGAAATAAAAACAATATTCATAAAGCAGAGATTTACCACAAAAAGAGTTAAAGTCTTTATGGGGTCAGTTGCTATTTCTATTGATTTTATGTGGAAGCACTCAGATATTACAATGATGGGTGGCAGCATGAAACAGATAGATAGTATTTAACTGGTCATTGAAACTTCTTTGGGATGCCTTTATGCTACATAAAACTATCATGTTGTAGTCTATATTCTTTTCCTGATTGTTTGGGATGTATAACGCATACGTCCCATTATCAACAGTGGGATACAGCCCCATCTCCCTCCCCGGTGTCAGTAATTTACAGGAATAGGAAAAATAGACTGCCTAATTAGGATTGAGGCAAATTGGATCTAAATATGAGGGAGGTCCCTCTGTGAAGGGGAGTTGAGAAGCTGATCCATGTTGAATATGAAAGTAGTACTCTCTGATCATATTGACTCCGTAGGTAGTGTCTTGGAAATGCTACTGTAAATAATCCTTTTAGTGTTGTTGAATTCTATCTTTTCATGGTGCTTTCCTTGTAGTTGAATTGTATCACTGCTCTCTACATGTACCTGCCTCTGGGACTTTGTCAGAAGTTGTCTTTTCTTTGATGAATTTCACAAAGGGCTGTTTCAGAGGAACAGCTGTGTTAGTCTGTATTCGCAAAAAGAAAAGGAGTACTTGTGGCACCTTAGAGACTAACCAATTTATTTGAGCATGACCTTTCGTGAGCTACAGCTCACTTCATCAGATGCATACCTCGGAAACTGCAGCAGACTTTATATATACACAGAGAATATGAAACAATACCTCCTCCCACCCCACTGTCCTGCTGGTAATAGCTTATCTAAAGTGATCAACAGGTGGGCCATTTCCAGCACAAATCCAGGTTTTCTCACCCTCTGCCCCCCCACACAAATTCACTCTCCTGCTGGTGCTAGCCCATCCAAAGTGACAACTCTTTACATAATCAAGTCGGGCTATTTCCTGCATAAATCCAGGTTTTCTCACATCCCCCCCACCCCCATACACACACAAACTCACTCTCCTGCTGGTAATAGCTCATCTAAACTGACCACTCTCCAAGTTTAAATCCAAGTTAAACCAGAACATCTGGGGGGGGGGGGCGGGTAGGAAAAAACAAGAGGAAACAGGCTACCTTGCATAATGACTTAGCCACTCCCAGTCTCTATTTAAGCCTAAATTAATAGTATCCAATTTGCAAATAAATTCCAATTCAGCAGTTTCTCGCTGGAGTCTGGATTTGAAGTTTTTTTGTTTTAAGATAGCGACCTTCATGTCTGTGATTGCGTGACCAGAGAGATTGAAGTGTTCTCCGACTGGTTTATGAATGTTATAATTCTTGACATCTGATTTGTGTCCATTTATTCTTTTACGTAGAGACTGTCCAGTTTGACCAATGTACATGGCAGAGGGGCATTGCTGGCACATGATGGCATATATCACATTGGTGGATGTGCAGGTGAACGAGCCTCTGATAGTGTGGCTGATGTTATTAGGCCCTGTGATGGTGTCCCCTGAATAGATATGTGGGCACAGTTGGCAACGGGCTTTGTTGCAAGGATAAGTTCCTGGGTTAGTGGTTCTGTTGTGTGGTATGTGGTTGTTGGTGAGTATTTGCTTCAGGTTGCGGGGCTGTCTGTAGGCAAGGACTGGCCTGTCTCCCAAGACTTGTGAGAGTGTTGGGTCATCCTTTAGGATAGGTTGTAGATCCTTAATAATGCGTTGGAGGGGTTTTAGTTGGGGGCTGAAGGTGACCGCTAGTGGCGTTCTGTTATTTTCTTTGTTAGGCCTGTCCTGTAGTAGGTAACTTCTGGGAACTCTTCTGGCTCTATCAATCTGTTTCTTTACTTCTGCAGGTGGGTATTGTAGTTGTAAGAAAGCTTGACAGAGATCTTGTAGGTGTTTGTCTCTGTCTGAGGGGTTGGAGCAAATGCGGTTGTATCGCAGAGCTTGGCTGTAGACGATGGATCGTGTGGTGTGGTCAGGGTGAAAGCTGGAGGCATGCAGGTAGGAATAGCGGTCAGTAGGTTTCCGGTATAGGGTGGTGTTTATGTGGCCATTGTTTATTAGCACTGTAGTGTCCAGGAAGTGGATCTCTTGTGTGGACTGGACCAGGCTGAGGTTGGTGGTGGGATGGAAATTGTTGAAATCATGGTGGAATTCCTCCAAGGGCTTCTTTTCCATGGGTCCAGATGATGAAGATGTCATCAATATAGCGCAAGTAGAGTAGGGGCTTTAGGGGACGAGAGCTGAGGAAGCGTTGTTCTAAATCAGCCATAAAAATGTTGGCATACTGTGGGGCCATGCGGGTACCCATAGCAGTGCCGCTGATCTGAAGGTATACATTGTCCCCAAATGTGAAATAGTTATGGGTAAGGACAAAGTCACAAAGTTCAGCCACCAGGTTAGCCGTGACATTATCGGGGATAGTGTTCCTGACGGCTTGTAGTCCATCTTTGTGTGGAATGTTGGTGTAGAGGGCTTCTACATCCATAGTAGCCAGGATGGTGTTATCAGGAAGATCACCGATGGATTGAAGTTTCCTCAGGAAGTCAGTGGTGTCTCGAAGGTAGCTGGGAGTGCTGGTAGCGTAGGGCCTGAGGAGGGAGTCTACATAGCCAGACAATCCTGCTGTCAGGGTGCCAATGCCTGAGATGATGGGGCGCCCAGGATTTCCAGGTTTATGGATCTTGGGTAGTAGATAGAATATCCCAGGTCGGGGTTCCAGGGGTGTGTCTGTGCGGATTTGATCTTGTGCTTTTTCAGGAAGTTTCTTGAGCAAATGCTGTAGTTGCTTTTGGTAACTCTCAGTGGGATCATAGGGTAATGGCTTGTAGAAACTCGTGTTGGAGAGCTGCCGAGCAGCCTCTTGTTCATATTCCGACCTATTCATGATGACAACAGCACCTCCTTTGTCAGCCTTTTTGATTATGATGTCAGAGTTGTTTCTGAGGCTGTGGATGGCATTGCGTTCCGCATGGCTGAGGTTATGGGGCAAGTGATGCTGCTTTTCCACAATTTCAGCCCGTGCACGTCGGCGGAAGCACTCTATGTAGAAGTCCAGTCTGCTGTTTCGACCTTCAGGAGGAGTCCATCGAGAATCCCTCTTTCTGTAGTGTTGGTAGGGAGACCTCTGTGGATTAGTATGTTGTTCAGAGGTATTTTGGAAATATTCCTTGAGTCGGAGACGTCGAAAATAGGATTCTAGGTCACCACAGAACTGTATCATGTTCGTGGGGGTGGAGGGGCAGAAGGAGAGGCCCCGAGATAGAACAGCTGCTTCTGCTGGGCTGAGAGTATAGTTGGATAGGTTAACAATATTACAGGGCCTAATAACATCAGCCACACTATCAGAGGCTCGTTCACCTGCACATCCACCAATGTGATATATGCCATCATGTGCCAGCAATGCCCCTCTGCCATGTACATTGGTCAAACTGGACAGTCTCTACGTAAAAGAATAAATGGACACAAAT